CAAGCACCTCTCTAGATTTTCATAAGGGCATGTACAATGGTGGCATATGGTTACATATGCCCCATGACAAAAAGTAATTTGAAGCACCTACATCTATTTTTTCTCCCCAATGCAAGCTACCATTAGTGGGTCTCATTAAGAAATAGAAAATAAAAGCTTTAGTACACATGCATCTCTACTTTTTACTCCAGCATTTTCAGCTTTTGTCACCGGACCACACTTTTTCTCTTCAAGCACCCGCCTCCTGAAGAGGATCCCGCTTCCCTATCCGAACCTACTTTACGTCATATCCGATCCTACATGGCATGTGAGGCATCACCTTGAGGCTATGCATTGTACATGCCCTAAATAGGTTCTGCTTGTTAGTCCAAGTATAAGCAGGACCACTAAAAACTAAATCAATTAGGCCACACTGCTTAACAAGGTCACAAAATGCACGCATATGGTATATATTAACATTAGGAGAGCTTTTGGTTTTTTAGAGGAAAAGGGCCACAGCCCCTGCTCCATTACTCAGAACGAAGCAAAGGTCTCAGTTTATTACAAGGGTAGCACGCGGAAGCCAGCAGCTCACTGCTTCAGCCAAAAGCACCACACCAGGCGCTACAGAAAACAGAAACTAGTCCTGAAGACAACATAAAAGGAAACGCCCACATGGCTCACACAGCCTAAATATTCAGATAGCACCCACAGCTATAGTAGCAAACGACAAACACACGGCCAGCATCTACTCACATCGAAGCCTTTTCCCGTCTTCCCACTTCAGCCAGGATCTGGCCACATCAGAAGAGGGGGGCTTCTTGCCAGCAGCTCCAGCTCTTTCGAACACCACTCCAGCCTGCCCTTGACATGGCCTGAGGATAGGCATCCCCTCGTAGATAGATTCAGCGCAGTTTTTCGCCATATAACCTGCATCCCAGGCCAAGCAACAGGATTGAAAACCGTGTCATTGTGAGTTTTCCAGATAGCCCACAGACCAGCTGCATGAATAATATTAATTGCAGCAAATCCATCTCCTCTAGACCAACAGGAAGAGAAAGACATCATATTGATATCCCCTCCATATCCAGTTAGTCTAGAAATAGCTTTCCAGAATTCAGCTGCAATAACACACCCAAAAAATAAGTGATAGCAAGACTCCAGCTCAGCAGCAATAGGAGAGCTTTTGTCTACATCATAGAGAGTGTTGTTGAGATCTCCCATAGATAAGATAGGCTTGCCTAAGTTATCATACACAAAAGAGGCAATTTGATCCCAGATCTGACTAGTTTGACGGTGGGGGAGCACCGTAGACGCAAACTAGTGCAAACTCTACCCTAGTGGCCATTCTTACAACCGAGGCTAATACTTCACGAAAGCTAGAAGTATGAACATTAACTTGGACATCATCATTCCACATGGGCCATAGACTTCCTGAGCCCCCCTGATGGAATTACTACACTATCAACATTCGACAACATCGAAACAGTTAATTAGATTAGCCGTATTAACATTAGAAGATTTGATTTCTGAAACGTAGGTTACCTGAGCATTAGTGGAGCACATAAGATTGGCAAGATATTCCCAATTTTTTACTGCCGAGATCCCTATCCAAGCCCCAGCAGTTCCAAGCGATTAGCCTCATGGCGCCTCAAGGGCTGGTGCCACTGCCCCATCCACATCCACATCTTCATCGTACAGATCTTGTTCAATTGAATGTAATGTCTGTAAGTAGATTTTTTTTTGAAGTTGCTTTGTTGATTATACATTTATGGTATTAGAACTGATTGATGTTGTTAATGGATTTTGCTCTGATGCTTTTGTCATGGGGATAAGCTTGTTTCAGATTTTTTGGATCTCCTTAGTAATATGTGGACTATTTATTAGTTGCACTCCTTCAAGTTAGCTCACTCTCAGGAAATTGTTCAACTCATGGATATGTACCACAACTGCGCCCACATTGTTAACGAGTACTGTTCATTTTCTGCTTAGCTAATGGAAACGTATGGCCTTTTGCAGGATCATGTATCAATGCAGTATACCTCGTTGCCGGATTGCAAACTTGCAGTGGACTATTTGACTTCTTCGCCGGCCATAGCAAGGGTTGAGCTTCTACTGTCTACCAAGCATGTATAACCTTGATGGCTAGTTACTTTGCCAAACTTTGAAGACTAAAGACATGTAGTTCTCGTTTTCATCATTTGCTCTGTCGACAATCCAGGAAAAGATATTGGTGGCGTGTTTTTGGAAATGTGGTTTAGAAATTTACATGATGTTTCTGCACATAATTTGGTGAGCATCAAGAGCAATGTTTGTGTATCTCAACCGTTTCTTAATTGCCTGTGCTTAACATTTCTGTTTCTATCTTAGTATGTTTTTCAGGCATGCACCACATGGAATGGAACTTCTTGTGATGATTGCATATGTGGCTGCAGCATTATTACAGTTATGAAGATCATAATATGCTGTTCTATGTATCTGCGGTATCATTGTTTTCACCGGACAACTGTGTCATTTTACCTGTTTCTTTGTGCTAAATTGGATTGATCTATGTCGGTGAATCATCAATGCAACAAGGGGAAAAAGAAGTCGTTATTCCTTACAGCTGGTTAATATACAGGAATAGTTAGATTTTCACTAGGTAAATGTTTGCCCCTGGAGAATCATTCTCCTCTGAAGTAGCAAACGATGTCCCACCTCCTCATGGCTCTCCCCAGCTGGAACTTCACAGGCAGGCACCCTTCAAACCCACCTTGATCCGCCCGGCGCTTGAGACTCCGTCGTCGCCGCCTGTCTTTATCATCAGTGAGTCGCGCGCTCTGCATCGCCGGCGACGGGCACAGCGGCGGGAGGGCGCCCTCCCTTGGCGGGCTCTTGGGCTTCCCTGGCTCGTCCTCCCACCCAAACGGTACCTTCCCGGTTGCCGCGGAGTACACCCTCATAGACCGTCCCAGCTCATCGCTGCCAGAGCAGTGCTGCAGGAGATGGGTCGGCGAGGTGGTGGCCTCCATGGATTTCGCCTTCGCTTTCTTCTGCTTTCGCCTCTCGTCGCACTCTCCTGTGATTTTTGCTTATGGTCTTAACTGCGATTTCACCTCTGGTCTGACTCTCTTGGTGCAACGGCACGGCGGAGGAAGACCAGTTTATATAGGGCCAGGAAGGGGTCGCCGTCTCCATGGTGTGCTTGCTAATGAAGGTTTGCTTTTCGCAAAGTCAAACGCTTGGTTTTAAGGCTGCTCAACACAGCAAGGCAGCTTTTCTTTGTGCTTTGGTTTGAAGATCACGGCGAGGAAAATGAGTGGCACGGCCGGCGGTCACGGTGGCAAATGACAATTACGGTTGTGTAAAGCATGGCAGGAGCGGCGGCCACGGGGGTTGGCTTGCTCCAGGTAATCGGTAATCTGGCACACGTTAATGGGTACTCCGGAGACAACATAGCCTACTCTAGAGATTTCCAGCAGGTTATTATGGACAGGTGTGGTTGTAGCTCATGAATCTATCTGCAAAAGGAAGCAAGGAGACTGAGCAGCTGCAGTGGTGGCGAAGATTCACAACTGTGGATGGACATATGCATGCGCCGTCAATTTATTTTCTATCGTGTCATAACTGTGAGACTAAAATATTGGCGTATGTTCAGATGTCACTCAACATTTCCCTCAAATATAGCACTGAAATTCTCGGTAATCCACCCGGGCTTAGCTGCACCCATCCCGACGAAAAAAATTAAAACGAATACTAGAAAAATTCAAACAATTCCAAATTTTTTGTGTGTGGTAGATATTTTGATGTTTGAGGTTCTCTTCAATTTCCAAATCATTTGGACATCTGAGCAGCTCTCGGCAAAAAAGACAAATCCGGAGCATTTTTACTGTTCACACACTGTTCTGACCTGATTTGTCTTTTTTGTTGAGAGCTGCTCAGATGTCCAGATGATCTAAAAATTGAATCGAACCTCACGCATCAAATTATCTACCACATAATTTTTTTTGGATTTTTTTGAATTTTTTTAGTATTTGTTCTGATTTTTTTCTAGACCAGGTGCAGATGAGCCTGCGCACCAAAACGCTTCACTCTGAAATTCTGCGTTATGTCCAAAGTTGCCACTTCCGTTAGCTGACCGTCATTACGATTGAGAAGATGATTTCCCCCTTAGCCGCACCTGGTAGTGATTTCAGCAAACAATGTAAAGATTCCGGAATAATTTTTATTTCAGAATTCATAATAAATATTAGCATGAAAATATGACATAGAATTCCATAATAATTTTATCATGAAAATAAAAAAGTTAAGGAATAATATCCCCTTATTAAGCATATCATCACAATTTCTCTAAAAGATTTCATCACTCGGGTGCATGCACACACTATAGTTCACATTTTCTCTAAACGTCTACACTCGTAATAAAAAGTTCACATTTTTAGTAAGTGTACAAACTATAGTAATTTTAGAACAATGTAGTAAAATAGTACTCCCACCGTCTCACAATGTATTGCGTATAGATTTTTTGCAAAGTCAAATTTCATAAACTTTGACTAAATTTATAGATTTTTTCCTAAATTTAGAATACAAAATAAATATCATTAGAAATGTCATAAGACAATTTTCTTTTCATATTCTATTTGTTTGATTTTTCCACTAACATTAATACCACTTACCCGCAAAAAATAAATGAGTAGAAGTGGGCACGGAAATTTAATACCACTTACCCGCAAAAAACAAATACTGCTCACATAATTACCAAATGTACACACACAAATATCTTCAATTTCTGATAAATATGTTTTTTTAATAGGATCACATGCACCGACCCATGCATTTTCCATAAGAATGGATTCCTCCCAAATTCCTCAAAACAAGACAGTTCCTCTAAAACAAACATCAAGCAATAGTAAATTCATCTCTAGCGGAAAATAGAAGCGAATTATGAGCATGAGTGCAGAGATACGTGAGCATCTAATTGATCATACTCATATGCCAAGCTAGAACATCCAAGACGAGAACAATCACAAACACCATGAATATCATCGTCCTCCAGAGAGGTCGGACACTGCCCCAAAGCTGGACATCAGCTGGGGGTAAGACATGACGGATGTGCTGAACCCGCTGTCCTGCATCAACCCCTGCATCTCCACGCTCAGCTGCGTCGTCGTCATCTCTGGCAGAGGGGTCTCGCCGTCGAGGTACTGCATGACTTGTCGCATGCTAGGCCTCGAACCAGGAAAGGGGTGCAGGCACAAAAGTCCTATCTTCAGCACGAGGCACGCTTCGTCAACGCCGTAGTCACCCTGGAGCCGTGCGTCCACCGTCCTGCTAAGCAGTCGGTTGTTCCAGTGCTCCAGGACCCAGTCCACCAAGAAAACCTGGTTTTCCACTGTAGGACCTTGCCTGACAGGCTTTTGCCCACATGTAACTTCAAGAAGAAACATGCCGAAGGCATACACATCGGTAAGAGGGGACGCCTTGCCCGTGCGCACTAGCTCGGGGGCAAGGTACCCCATCGTGCCGACCATGTGTGTGCTCTGTGGATCGGTGCCGTGATCATATAACCGGGCGAGGCCGAAGTCGCCGAGCCGCCCATTCATTTCATCGTCGAGGAGGACGTTGCTTGCCTTGATGTCCCGGTGCACCACGACTTTCTCCCACTTCTCGTGCAGGTAGAGCAAGCCGGTAGCGATACCCTTGATGACCTGAAACCTCTGAGCCCAATTTAAGGTGGGCTTGTCGTCCTGTTGATAGTGTATGTACTTGTCGAGGCTGCCATTTGACATGTAGTCGTACACCAACATCAGTTCACCTTTCCGCCTGCAATAACCAAGTAGCTGCACTAGGTTGCGATGTCGCAACCGGCCAATGCTAACAACCTCGGTGATGAACTCCTTCATCCCTTGTCTCGACTCGTGGGACATCCTCTTCACGGCGATCTCCTTCTTGGAAAACTGAAGCAGCCCTTTGTATACCTCCCCGAACCCTCCTGCTCCAACCAGGTTCTTGCTCTTAAATCCTTGAGTAGCATTGAACAAATCCTTGTACGAGAATCGGTGTGGGCCGAACTCGCTCTCCCAATCCTCGCGCACCTCACTATACCTTCTTCTTCTTCTTCGCACCATCAGAATGACGAGAGTGCCGATAGACATGATCAATGCTGCAGTGGCTATTGGGAGGATGATCGCCAAGAGCTTTGGCTGGGCCTTTTCGCCAACACTAGGCAACTTAGGAAGCTTGGAGATGTCAATGGACGGAGCTTGCATGTTCATACCGAAGCTCCATCCAAGAACATAATGACTAGTGTTTGTAAGTTCAGCAGTAGATGAGAAACCAATATATGCTGTCTCCGTGAGCACAGTTGAGAGGTCATAGGTTGCAGACAATAGTGGCTTCAAGGGTTTTCCGACATGGAGTGGAGCCAAGGTCACATTGATCCTTGTTTCCTCCTCGTCATAGTCCACCCACAATTGTAGTTCCATCTGGGCATTCAGCGTCAGGTTCTTGAAGGCACCACTAGAGTCTTCATAGAAGCCAGCCGTATGAGATTGAAAGGAGAAAATACTATTGATGTCGATGCCGATGTGGTTGTCATTGATGTCTTGCAGCTCGGGGTCCTGGAAGGTGTCAACCTCAATTACCAAGAGGCTGTCATTGCTCTTCTGTTTCAGGATCCCAAAGTATTGCGCGGGCAGTGCATCTGAGAAATTCTTGCTTGGGGCAATGAAGAAGGCCACCCCATTAGCAGCCACGCCAGGGTATGTATTGACGATACAAAAAATGATGGTGACCGAGAATGATTGCACTTTCCCGGTAGATGAATCGCGGAAGCGCAAAGGAGTGGGGTAAAGAGCATGACCTTTGACATTGTTCGTGCCGTTGGACATATCGAGGAGGCCGTCTTGTGTGACCACGGCACTACCATCCAGGGTTAGGTTAGATTGTGTAAAGCCAGAGAAGAAGAATTGGTCGTTGCAGGTGGCAATGGTTGCCAAGGTAAGGCTGAGGAGGAGAAGGGATGGAAGGAACGGCGCACAATTCATTTCGATCATCGCCGGAAGCTGTTTGTGGCTCAAAAGTTGCAACTCCTCAATACACATGCTCGACCGAATGAGGTGTTTCGTTGCCAATGCAAAGTTCGTTTAAGGTCACACATAACAGCATGCTTATATATTCACACATACATCAAGCTCCCTTCCAAGTCTACTCTACCGTTTTTCAACATTCTACAACGGCCCATCTTTGTCTAGTAGTTAATGCGGCCCATCTTTGTTTAGTAGTTAATGCATATAAGGTGATCATTATCTATCGGTGCTTCCTGGAAATTTATTAAAAACCAATAGAACAGAGCTTTGGTCCTGACAAATTTTAGAAATGATATGCCGTTGCAGCAACGGCAGAGCATCTCTGTGAACCTTTTTGTAGTCTTCTGTCATGTAAACTGGGTCAACTGGAACAAAGTATATACCATCGGATTTTAAGATGGACAAGAACTGGAAAAGAATCTTGATGCACTTGGATGCACTGAATAATGTGGCTCTTGGCAACTGCCCTGGGATGACGGGAAATCGGCAGCTCAGACTTGAGAGTGGCAAGTCTAGATGGTCACTATCAACCTTCCTAGTCTTATTATACCTGTGTGGAAATTTACTATGCCCCTACAGCAACGGCAGAGGATCTTGATCAACTTTTGTGGTCTCCTTTCTAGTCTTAACGAGTAAACAGCTACACCTAAAGATGGACTACGCAAATTTTCAAGCTTTTGAATGACTGTATGACCTAGATAGCTTGCCCAAAAGGTATTTCTCCCTGACCGTGAGACATGTGGAGAAACACTACGATGGAGGGAACTTGGCAATTTCAGACATTGGAGTGCCAAGTCCACCAGTCGAAATCCTGCGTACATGTGGAGCTTCGTCCTGATCTTCAGTTGTCATGCACTATCCTCACCGAGCCGCACCATCGCCCTCGCCCTCCTGACTTGCACCGGCAGTTGCTGGTCACCTGTTGTAACATCAGAAGCCCCAGCAGCTAGCATGATGTTTTAGAGCTTGAAGATTATATTGATGTACTTCACTTGAAAATTGTCTTCAGTCAAGTAAGTTTGGATCATAGGAGTACACTGTAGTAGTAAACTTTGAGTTCATAACTGGAAAATGAAAAAAATAACCTAGTAATCAAACAATTCGAATTATTATTTGTGGCAGCTATTTGATGCCCGTCTGATTTATTAGCCTCCACTGCCAAGTAAACCGACTTCCAAGATCAAGAAAGAAATAATATCATCAGTGGTGCATAAACTTGACATGGATGCTCACTTTAGTGCCTAAAATTGAAAAATACGCTGGACTCGTTCTAAAATTGTAATTATAAATTACAGTTCATAAATAATATTTTAATTATTCCAACATTTGAGTAATTACATGCACATTTTTATAATTCATAAGTATGCTGCTTAATATTTTTTGTATAACTAAAAATTATTCATAATTTAAATTTAATTTATATATATGAATATTCACTCGTGGATTATATTTACATTGTATTTTTTGAGGGCTATATTTACATTATATGAAAACTATGAATATAATTCATAAATGTTGTTATCCATAAACTGTGAATATGTGTAAATATTTAGTAAATGTTATTATCCATAAATTTCTATAAATTAAATATAACCATGCATGTATACAAATATTTGTATTCACCATACATTTATATTATTTTTAATATAATCCATGACTGTATATTTGAAATGTTTGTAGTTACTGAAATTTTTAAACACTCATGGATTTTATTTAAATAATATTTTCTAAATAGTATGCACATACATCTATGTATTTATTTTGTGTGCACATGAATATTTGTGTACCACAAATATTTATAACCCACAACATGGCATGTCATGGTTTATAGAGTTTTTGTAAAATTACATCCGTTTATTTTGATTATAATCTACAGAAATTTCACATCTTATTTTAAAAATAATTATGTGCAAAATTTAGATTAGTAGTATATGTATTAGTGTGATTATAATTTACAGATTTTTGTAAAAATTTGAACATGTGCTAAATGGGTTGCACTGACCGCAACCCATTTAACTAGTACAAGCTTTTTCCCCCTTACAGATATTAAGGACGAGGGGCCAGATTTTGCACGAAGAATTGCTGGGTGGTCTGGCCAGCTTATGCCACTTACTCTTCAATGATTAGGCAATTCTGGTGGGACAGTAAGAGGGGTCGAAGGAAATCTAGCTGGGTGTTTGGGATGTGTGCACAGGACCAATTTTTTTTGGAGGGTTAGGGTTTCGAGACATGGAGATGTTCAACTTATCTCTACTGGCACGACAGGCCTGGAGACTTCCCCAAGGTCCAATTACTCTCAGTGCAAGATTGGTAAAAGCTGTATATTATCCAAACAGATCATTTTGGAAGCAGAATTAGGACCTCACCCATCGCAGATTTGGCGTTGGATGGAAGGAATGTGGCTGCACTGGATTTAGCATCGTATTTGCACATTTGTGCCAACTTTTAGAATTAGCTCGGTATATTTTTTAAATTTAAGCACTAAAGTGAACATCCATGACAAGTTTGATATTACCTCGCATCGCAACCAACAGAAGTGTCTTCCATCGCTGGTGGGGTTGGAGGAATTGGAGAGCGTCGATTGGAAGCTCCAGGCGGCGAAGAACGGAGCTCGCCCTCCACCTGTCAATGGTGGACACCGGAGGCCGCGTGTGCGGGCTGAGCAGCTGCGCGCCATCCCCGCGCGTGCCGTCCTGACGCTGGGTGCTCAGGGCATCTCCAGCCATTGGCCCCCTAGGGGGCGCCTAAAATCGCCGCCTGGGGGTGAGCCGGCGCAAAAATTGGGCATGGGGCGAGTTGGTCCCCAGCCGCCGGCCCCAGGGCCGCCCCAGGCACATTTTAAAATAAAAGAAGTTCAGCGAAGTTCGGCTTAAACACGATAAAATTCGGCCAAGCACGATAAATTTCGGCCAAACACGATAAATTTCAGCACATTTCGGCGAAGTTCGCGGATTTTCATTACATAGCACATATACATAAACTAATCTAAAGGAAAAACTGGCTGAAGTCGCCGCCGTCGCCGCCATCGTCGTCGTCGGCCTTCTCCTCCTTGACGCCGGCGCCCCTGCTGGACCCCTGCCCGGCGTCGCCATGGTGGACTGGTGGCGGCGCATCGTCGTCGTCGTCGTCGCTGTCGCAGATGATGACGACTCCGCCTTCGTCGCGGCCGCGTCGACGCTCCGCGAAGCGAAGCAGGCGGCGTGTTGGCGCTCATTCGCCTTCTCCAGGCGCTCCTTCTCCATCGCTATGGAGTCCCTGCGCGCCCATTCCAGGGCCGCATCGTCGTCGTCGAGCTCCGTCATCACCGGCACGGCCGGCTCCTTCTTCACCGGCGCGAGCCCCGGCTACGTCTTCACCGACGCGAGCCCCAGCTCCGTCTTTGGCTTGACGAAGCGCGGAGGAGGAGCCGATGAGTAGGCGCGCCGGCCGCCCTCGTTGATGACGATGCCGGCGCTACGAGTGCGCCGGCCGAGCGGCGTCTCCGCCGCGGGCTCGGCCTTGACGCCGAGCAGGGCCGGAGTGCCAGAGGAGTGCGATGAAGATCGGGAGGAGGAAGAAGAGGAGGAGGACCCGAACCTCCTTGGCGCCCATGGCCCGGCGCGTCGGTGCTGCGCCGGGGCGGCCGCCCTCGCCGGGTACGCCAACGGCGGGTCGTTGCCTCCCTCGAGGTACGTCAGCACGCCCTCGAGTGTGCGGCCGGGGACGCCCCACCAGAGGTGGCGCCCCTCGCTGTTCTGCCGGCCGCCGGCCACCGGCGCGCCTGGTGGACGCCAAGCGCTGCTGCTGGCGGCGCTCGAAATACGCCGCCCAAGCCGCGTGGTTGTCGGCGGCGTACTGGGGGAGGGAGAGTTGGGCGTCGGTGAGGGAGGCGCGCACGACCTCGACTTTCTCGGCGAAGTACTTCGGCTTCGCCACGGCGTCGGGCAACGGGGGAATGGGCACTCCCCCGGCGCTGAGCCTCCACCCCGTCGGCCCGGCGCGCATGTCCGACGGCGCCGGGATGTTCGCCTGAAACAGGAGTCAGGACTCCTGCTCGCGGAGCGAACAGCGACCGGAGCCGTTGGCCGCCGCCTCGTCTCCGGGGTAGCGTTCCGTCATGGCGACGGGCTCGGGAGAGGTAGAGAGATAGAGGGAGGGGCTGGGCGGCGGCGCTCGGGAGAGGTAGGGAGATGGAGGAGCTGGGCGGCGGCGAGGGGCGGGGCTGGTGTGGGCACAGGCGAGTGCAGACCACCGGCTATATAGCCGCGCCGCACCCGTGTGTACGCGTGCGAGGGAGGGGAGGCGTCGGCGCGTCGTCCCGTGACGCGCCGCCCGTGAGGAATCAATGGCAAGGCTGACCGGCGGCAGCCTTGCCATTGATTCTTCGCGGGAACCGAGGCCGTTGGAGAAAGACGAGGCGCCGTGTTGCTAACGCGACGGGCCCGCGGCTGTTTCGCGCCAAAACAGTTCGCCCCGGCGCTCCTGGGCGCCCCCCAACGCGCCGGGTTCGGTCTGGGTCCGCCGGCGCTGTTTTCAGCTCAGGCCGACGAAAATCGAGCTCCTGGGACGCGACTAAGCCGTTTCTTTGGCGCCGCCGCGAAAAAATCGCCTGAAGAGGCCTTCCTAAAGGCGCGGCTGGAGATGCCGTCACCCGCCGCATGACGTCCCTGCCACCCTGGTGCTGGTGGGGCAGCAGTGTCGCATCCAACTCGTCCGTGGCGTTGCGTCTAGCACTCCGGCGTACGTGGCGCGTCTAACGGTCTAAGGACGACAAAGTGGTCTGCGGTATCCTCCAATGGTTGTTGTTGACTACCCAAGAGTCAGGCGCCCTCCACCGCCACCAGAAGAACGGGAAGGCACTCCCGAAGGGATTGAAGTTGCCACCGCCGCCCAAGCAAAAGCCCTCGCCGAATAGCAGGAGGAAGACGACGAGTCCGGCATGACTTTGAGCCTTTAACATACACGTCCACTTTGGGGGACGCCGGTGATGTTTCTAGGTTTTAATAAATATCCTAGTGCTATCCTAGTATGTATGT